CAGCTTACAGTTCAAATGGTCACAATATTTATCTCCCCTAAACAAAATATTTGTCATGCAAAATAATACTTCTTTTCCTTAGAAATCCCAATTGTTTTCAGTTCACGCCTATGTTTATCTCCTCTTCATGACATCTAATCTTGAGTTGTAGCTCCGCACGTTGGGGCACTTTATTTCATCTATAGTAAGTTACTAAGATTCCACACAAAAAACAAATTCACCCGTAGTGATTTACATCAGTACTTTCTGTCAAAACCCAACTTTGTTTGCCTGCACACTAATGTAAACCTTTTTGCATTTTCCCCTGTTGGCAGTGCACTTTTGTGATTCATGCTGCCATTAGTCATTCGAGTTGATCCTCTTTGGTATTGAACTCTGATAATTGTATGTTGGTACATATGGGAGGCCCATGGTGGCCCAGGCCCAGTACTGTTTATGTAACCCTAATGTTGTGGTATATATATATGTGTGTGTGGTGGTCCTGAGTGAACCAACCTGCAGATCGACCAAAACCAAGACTGAATCCGTTTCAAAAAAAAAAAAAACAAGACTGAATCCATTCCCTCTCGTGTTACAACATGGTATAAGAGCTAGGTTGTAGCCGCTCGCCTCGCCGTCTCCTGAGGTGGCTGTGGGCAAAGCCCACGGCTGCTAGGGAAGGAGGCGGCGGGGACGTGAAGGAAGGAGGCGGATCCGGGCGGAGCTGCGCGGTCGGCGGATCTGGGCGCGGTGTCCAGGAGCTGCTCTCGGCGTGGATTCGCGGCGGGGGCTGGCTGGGAGCTGTGCGCGGGTGGCGGCGGCGAGCTGCACGCGCGAGCAAGGCGCGGGCATGATGAGCGCGCGTGCGGACTGGATCTGGCGAGCTCGGCGCGGTGGGCGCGTGCAGAAGGCCGGGAGATGCGGATCTGGGGCTTGGAGTTCGAGCTCGTGCTCGTGCTCTAGGCGGCGCTGCGAGGAGGCGCTGGGATGCGCAGCACGCGCTGGCCATGGCTGTGGGTCGCTGGGCAGGCGGCGTGGCGCTGGCGAGCGGCTGCGCGCGCGGCAAGTGAGGCATGGAGAGGCTGCGTGCGGGCAGAAGAGGGAAAGAAAAGGAAGAAGAGGAGCTGAGGTGCGCCTGCGCGCGCGCCAAGTGCTGCTGTTGTCCTGGTGCTGCCTGCTGCTGGAAGTAAAAAAAAGAGAGGAGTTGAGCTGCTGGTGCAGAAGAGGAGGTGAGGTTGTGCGCGGCGAGAAGGAAACAGAGGAGGAGCGGCCAAGGAGGAAGAGGAGAAGGAGGCTGACTCTGTTGTTGCTGCTGTTGTGGCTGCATCTGTAGCTGCTGTGGTTGCGTCCAAGTGTAGCGGCGCGTGAGGAAGAGGAGGTGCTGTTGGGCGCTGTGGTCCTGGCGGCTGCTGTGTTCTGCTGCTGCTGCTGACAAAAGAGTAAGAAGGAAGGTTGTGTGCTGCTGCTGCAGGAGACGGAGAGGAGGCATAGGAGAAAGAGAAGGGCAGCTGCTTGTGGCTCCTGTGTGCTAGTTGCTGCTGCTGTTTGGAAGAGGAGTTGGTCGCAGCTGCTGGTGCTGCTGAGGGGGAGAAGGATGAGATGGGGGAGAAGGATGAGATGTTGCGCTGGCTGTGGTGTTGTTGCTCCTCCGTGCTTGGTGCAAGGAGCAGAGGGGGAGAGATGCCTTGGTTCGCTGCAAGGACCAAGGAGAGAGATGCTGCTACTGATGGCAGCCAGATGGATTTTCTTTTAGGGGGAGAGAGGGAGATGTGGTGATGATGGAGATGATGAGGCTGCGGCTTGAGTGTGGTTGGTGATGAGGAAGTGTCCGGGGGAGAGGCCGTCGTGCCTGAGGTGAGAATGGTTGAGGCCTGACCATGGGAGAGGCCGTCGTGCCTGAGGAGAAGATGGCTGGGGCAGGAGTTGCCCGGAGAGGCCGTCGTGCCTGTGGAGAAGATGGAAGAGGTCAGTGGCCGAAGAGGCCGTCGTGCCTGTGGAGAAGACGGGCTGAGGACATTGAGGCGAGTGTGGATGGTTCTACGGAACCTGTGTAGTGTGGCAGCCGGGTTGTTGAGGAGGTGCATGGTGCTCAGTTGGCCATCACAAGTTGGAGGTGGTGAGAAGATGATGGAGAGGGCAATGGCTCTCATGTATCGTAGTTGGTTAAGTTTTCTGTTCATTAGAGTGGTCGTAGTTTGAGTTTATGTAGTTGTTGCAAGATGGTCATGGGTGTTTACCCATGATCATCTTGAGGGGGAGTGTTGGTACATATGGGAGGCCCATGGTGGCCCAGGCCCAGTACTGTTTATGTAACCCTAATGTTGTGGTATATATATATGTGTGTGTGGTGGTCCTGAGTGAACCAACCTGCAGATCGACCAAAACCAAGACTGAATCCATTCCCTCTCGTGTTACAACATTGTACAACCAAGATATCTCCTTTGTTTAGCCCACTGTTGCAATGGAACCTAGGAACCTTCTACCGGATTGCCATTGGTACCTTCTATGTGCAAATGTTTTTTCCCTCTCCTTTTTGTATGTGCTTCCTTCTTTAGTTTCTTTCTCATGTGCGGCCTTTCTTTGAAGCATGGAAACACACAAATTGGAGTACTACACATTTTGCCCTCGGTTGCCCTTCCTTTGAAGCATGATTGAGCTTAACTGCTTTAGCTAGTACCATTAAGAAAAAAATGCTTACAGAACTTGGTTGAATTTTGTGAGTACAGAATTGCTGGATTTGCTACCGGGTTCTCAATTCATAAGTTACTTGCAATTTCATTAAACCCTGATCACATTACTGCTGTTTTTCAATCAACATAGAACCATTCGAATCTCAAGGGCACTTCATATATAATATATAACCTAAAGACTAATAGTTGCATGCCATAAAATAGAGTGATCTCAGCCTTGGTAGAGTGCAACTTTAAGTGAAACTGTCAGACAAGTGAAAATTAGCATTAGCTATTCTTCAGTCAGTGATAAACAGCTTGCTGGACAGTACTCAACACAATTGCCACAAAATATACAAACTCCGAAATCAATAATATAATTAAGCAATTGTTTTCTTTTAATATCCATTTCAAATCTCCAATCCGCTTGTGTGAATGTAACGGCATGAGCTTGTGCAATGCAGCCACACCCCACGCTGACGTCCGGGGAGAGGGGGGCGCTGTGCGGGTGCCTGAACTACAAGAAGCCGACACTGGGGGCGTGGAAGTGCACGTCCTCGCAGCGGCCACCCAGCTCTAAACTCGTTATTCGTCGCGGGTTGTGGTGGGCGAGCAGAAGGAGGCGCTGGGGCTGGACCTGCAGAGGGTGCAAGGAGACGAGGGGCCTGCCAGCACCAGGGTGTCGAGGAGGACGACGGCGGCCAAGGGCAACAAGTCCTTCAGCTGGAGGGGCTGCTTCCCTTGATTGTGATAGCTGGTCTCAGATCCTTTTGTAAGTTCATTTTGTCTGATGTGCTGTGCTGATCTTTTGGTTTGTGCAAGAGTTGGGATTGCGGAGCTTTCACCGCTGTACCCTGTTTGCTCTTGCCGTCCTGTGCAACTGTTGCTTGATGACTGGCCGACAGTGAATTAGTACTCCCTCTGATCTTTTTTACTTCGCATGTTAGTTTCGTCTTTACAGCTTGACCAAATTTGTAATGTTGAAAAATATCAGCATCTACTATACCAGATAAAATACAGTATGAAAAAGAATACTATTCCATGATGGATCTAATGATACCTTGATGTGGTATTGTGAACATTGATATCTTTTTTCTGTAAACCTTTACTTGCTTTCTTCATAAACTGTGCAATCTCCAATGCACAGAAAAGGGCGGGACTGAACTTGATGTTGGGAAGTAACCGACGGCAGTAACATGAAGTTCATGCAATATGCGAATGAGTACATAGCAACTCCAAAGCTGGATTCATTTTTATTTGTGACATCAAGTGGTACAAGTCATGCCACAGGAAATTCAGAAGAGAGAATGAGTTGCAGGCAGGATGATTCCCAGCCTCGTGTTATCAGCGCTCTGGGTCTGCCATTACGGCTGGGATGCTAGAAAGTTCTAAAAAAAAAGGGTATCATTTATACCGCGAATAACAGAGCAAGCACACCTGTAAATTATTGTGGGGCAAATATGGTTTGTATCAGTATCATGTGGAGTATGTGTAAAAACTGAAGAGGGCGCGGTTCAAAATGAAATAAGAGAATGAAGTGCAGCAGCTATTGTTGTTACCTTAAACGGACATTTATGCTGTATCCAAATGGAGTAAAAACTCAAACTGGATTTCGGCTTTACTGAACAGTGTTGAATTACCGTAAAACTCCTTTGTCTTTTCTCTTTTAAAAGCTAGTCCCTCCGTTTTAGAATAGATGACCCAACTTTGTACTAAAGTTAGTACAAAGTTGGGTCATCTATTTTGGAGGGAGTAGACTGCAATGATCTGATACATGTCCATTAGGTTTTAACCAATGGTCTGCTGCTGGAACTGTAAATTAGTAGTGCTATTATCTTGTGTTGACGGTTTCGGTGTCAATTGCTTCAATTTCAGCACACTTGTAACCAAATGGAGTAAAGACGTTTACCTTTACTGAACGGTCCTAGATCTCAGGGTTGAATCACTGTGAAAATTCCCTCATTTATGCCAAAACAAGGGTCCACAGCAGCCAGGCAGGTCTCTGACGGGGACCGAAGCTTCGATCTGAGCATGAGCAGTACCGGTCAATCATTCTGGGTTTTGATCCGGATCAAGGCAAAGGGAAACACGGCAGCTCGGGCATTCAACCAACCAACCAACTGTAAAGTCCGTGCGCCATTAACTACACTGTCGTCGGTCCTGCATGACTTATCGTTCAACACGCACTCGTCTTGATCCTTTTTTACTTACTCCGTAATACAGAGTTTATTTACTGCATCCTCACAGTCACAGCAGACGATTCAGTGGATTTTGGCGCAAGTTCTGACCGAAGAAGAAGGAGGAGGAGGAAAATGTGCAGCCTAGAAGGGAGGGACCCCGCCCCGCCCCGCCCTAGAGAAATGGCGGCTCCGAGCTGACCACCATGCCGAGGATGCCGCTCCAGTAGCTGCTGCTGCTCTCTCCGTCGCCCGAGACCTGGCCGCCGTGCTCGGCCTGGCCATTGCCGGACTCGCCCCAGCACTCCAGTGCACCGTGCGCACCGACACCAGATCCAGCAAGCAGCACGTCTGTGAGGCCGGCCCCGACGCCAACGGTTTCTTGGAACCACGGCTCCTCACCGCAGCCAATGATGTGCTCGTCTCCCCTCTCCGCGCCTTCCAGCCCTTGCATCTGCTGCTGGCGGAGGAACCTGCGCGCACTGTCCTCTTCGCGCTCCGGATCATCGCCTCTCAACCTCCACGTCGTGGGGTCGCCCTCGGATATCCCAAGGCTGACGCTGTTATTGTTACCGATGAACGTCAGCGTGGAGGTGGGTGACTCCAGGTCGAGCTTCGCGGCGCCCTGCCATGGCTGCAGCAGGCCGAGGCACGGGGAGGCGGCAGGCTCTGGCAGGTTTATTGGGTGCAGAGGGACTGAGGTTGGCCTGGAGGCTGCTGCGCGCATCGTGGATTCTCGAGCCAGGCGCCCCTCGGCCTCGAGCCGGGCGCTCTCCCACTGGGCCATGTGGCTCAGGCTCGCCGCGGCCTTGGCTGATCTGACGTCGTCTGCGGTGCCCACGGGAGCTCCGCTGGCGGCCTTGTGGGTGACGGGGTCGATCCCCATCTTGGCCAGCCTCTTCTTGAGGTGGGTGTTCCAGTAGTTCTTGATCTCGTTGTCGGTGCGCCTCGACAGGTGCGTCGCGATGGCAGACCACCTGAACAGTCCCAGGAAGCAAAGCTTAAGAGCTGATCATAGTCATGCATTATTATTGCTGGACAACATAAAAAAGACAATGCCAGCCAAAATTCTTTATTCTGGAAGTGCAAAAAATCAGGAGGATTCTGAATATACAGAATGAAAACGCTGACATTTTGGTGCATTCAACACTACAAATTATTCGTCTTCTATTTTGCTTTCAGATGTGGTAGGAGTGGAATGCATATACATGGAATTTTTTTTCAAGCAATTACAAGGTCAGAGACTCTGCACTTGATCTTAGCCCTGAAAAAGGATGCAGGTAAGACATTGATGACGCGGCAACAGAAGGATCTGTACTACTCTGAAGGGAGCTTAAGTTGGTAACTGTGCTGTAATAATCCGAGTAAAAAAAAACTATACGTGAAAACAACTACACACCTGTTGCCGAGAAGAGCATGAAGCTGGATGATGGTCTGTTCTTCCTGCAAGCTGAACTTGCCCCTCTTGATGTCCGGCCGCAAGTAGTTGGTCCATCTCAGTCTGCAGCTCTTGCCGCACCTCTGCAAACCTGCAAGATGTTGGTCGAACCCTCACCAACCCCGTAGACGCCTTTGATCCTCAGCAACCGGATGAAATTCAAGCTTTTGTAGACTCACCGGCCTTGGAGGGCAATGCACGCCAGCTCCCGTGCCCATGCTCCTCGATGTGGGCAAGAAGCTTCTCGTCCTCCTCCGGCGTCCATGGACCTTTCTTTAGGCCGACCTTGTCACAGCATAGCGATCGCCCCATTGGAGTAGGCCCGTAATATGCTGCTGCCTTTCGGAAGCCAGGAGCTGACAGCTGAGTGCAGAGGAGCTAAATAGAGCAGCAGCAGGAGAGGGCAAGTTAGAGCTATACATCATTAGCACGATATGAAGGTATGAAAACTGAACTTTCCACGCCTTATCATCATGACATAAATGCCCTTTTGACCGTTTGGTTTTGGCGCAGGTTACTGGGTGCAAGAAGATGTACAGCTCCTCACCGATCAACTGAATGTAAGAGTAACAAGCAAGTGACTTTCAGTTGAGTATGAGTTTAGCATTCAGGTCCACGGCTATGGCCCTCGAAATAAAAGCTGCTATAACTCCAAGCGGTGATTGGACCCCTCTACTATGACACCAAGTCTAGGTTGGTGAGACCGTAAGGTAATTTTCTTTTTGCCTGAAGTTATTGAGGGTCAATGTTCGTTACGTATGTTGCTTCATTTTGGGACGAGTCCTCTTAGAGGAGCAACCCATTTGGTACAGCCATTCTGGCAGTCCAGTACAAAACATAGGCTTGTTAACATGCATTGTCTACCAATGCTTGGAATTAAGGATTTCATTATAATATCTCAGAATGAACTGTTTGGTGTACAGCTGTAGATGGAGGGTTTGTTTCTTTAGCAAACGCCGTTTTTTACTGGTGAAGCTCTCCATGGATTTGAAGTTGCTTTCAGTAATGGCACCAATGCCAAACTTCCTTTTTTGAATTTATTCCACGCAAAAAAAAAACTTGAAGCGAGAATAAACTAATGAACTAGAAAAATTAATGCTTTTGTGAGATGCAGGAAGATACTGGAAGCCTTACAGTTGAAAAGGTAAAAAAGATGACACCTGGATAAACGTGTGTTAGTATGATATGGGACCATTAGGGCAGTGAATGGTCAACATCAAACTACATGAGTAGCTTTACTTGCAGTTCTGTGTAAGGAAACACTTACTGAATAGTGTGGGAAAATGGGAAGAACACAAAATGATCAATAAACGTAATACTGCACACATATAAGACATGGATATAAGAGCTGCACTATCCACTCTAGAGAAGTAGACAGGATAACGTGCAGTCTAAACCTAAAAATACATTCCCAGTGTATGAGTATGATGTGGGAGTACCTCAACTGAAGTACTGCAAAGAGAGGGCGGGAAGAAGGATACCGGAACTATTTCATGACAAGAAGCATTATTCAGCCTAAGAAAAATAAGCATTATGACATCTTAAAGACATTATTTGTGTATATAACAGCACAGTTGCACTGTGTTAGAATAGAGAACATGTGAACAAACTAACTGGAGACAGGTCAGGGATGAAACACTTACCTCACTGCGAAGGAACTAAGGACATCCATGACCCCATCGAAATAACTATGTAACATTGCATTATTCAAGATTGTGGTACAGGTTCTTCCATCTGCACATGGCTTTTCAGACCAGATCAACCTCTCGTGCCAGTGGAAGATTGTACCATCTTGTTTATCACCTTGGTTGCTTCCTGTGAAGGAAAGCTTGGACGATCTGCTGGGAAGCTGTTGTTTACCGCGTCCCTTCTGTGTCACTCACTGTCTGACTAACATGTTGGCCTGAACCAAACTTGTCAATGGAACAATGAATAAGTTCACATTGTTTCAGTGGCATATAGCTAGAGATTTAACTGCAGTTTCAAATAAAGGCCAATTAACAACTGTTATCACGATGAAATTGCTAAATAACACAAATCATGAAATCAGACACTGCTAGTCTGCTTCTTTGAAGCTATGGCGATTTGATAGGTGGCATTAATTTGCAATCAGCTTAAAGATTGCAGGCATAGGTGGAAATTATTTTCATTAAATTTAGAGGGTCCTGGACTGTTGAAATTTCCAGCACAGGATTACATACCAACAATAACTACAACTAGTAGATTTGCAACCATACAGATAAAGTGATTTTTCAAAATATAGTAATCCTATGGGTTTGGAAAAGTACATGTGATTCCAATGCAAATACCTCTTCTCAAATACATCTATTATAAAGACATGCACTGCAGGATATTAGTACGGATGGCACATAAGGCACTTAAAAATCTACTCTCAGACAGACTGCCATGATATTATGCATAACCTTGATATGACTGTGCATAAAGGTCCTTACAAAACAGTCACTTTTTCAGCAGACATCTTATTTGCAGAATATCATTGTCCATAACCTCTTCTACTGTAATATGTAAGTTGTGAAAAAGTGATATGCATACCTGGAGGAACAATTGATTAGTGAGAACTGACGCTGGTGTCCTGTCATGTTAGTAAATAGGGCAGCTGTTATGACTATTGTAATCTAGACTAGAGAAGCCGATGGACCAATACCAACTTGTGTGCGTCATACTGAACCAACAACCAGTATTAGATGGTAGTAGCAACAACAGACAAGAACTCGTGGAAATTTGTGCGTACTTTAACCCCTGCCACTTGCGCATGATACAACGTTAGCATGATATGCACAAGTTGATTTTATTGTAAGCTGGAAGGTTCCGGACAACATAAGAGCCACCAGCTATGCAATGAGTGCAATAGAATTAGCAAAAACTAAGTAGAAGAACATAAATAAAAGCACAACAAATTGTAAATGACAGGAACAGACCCTATGAAATGTTGCGCAAAGATCCACACTTTCACACTGCTACACATATGCACCCTACATACTAGTATAAGTCTAGATCCACCTGTGATTATGAAGATGTGCTCTAGCTAACTAATATGGCGGTAAAACCTTTTCAAACAACTGACAGTAAAAATTTATTAGGCAGAATATGCGATCAGGGTCCAGAGGTTCCATCTGGTCTCAGTGACAGTTCAGACCTAAGCATACCATAACCATTTTGCCAAACACCATTGCTTCTCTAACGTGCTCTGACAGATCACGGATGTGGGGGATAGCAATGTTAGGAAATTGAAAGAGGTGCAAATACATTGGTGTTACAAAGCACCAAAGCAGGTTGAATGAAGACGCTAAGTAAAACTAACATCAAATTTTATCATGATAACTTGATCAGCATTGTCAAATGAGCCATGCAGAAGCTCCTCATCAAAGTACATTCCCTGAAACATACACAACACAGCTCACCTTACATGAGAAGAGCATCACACTTGTTGAACCTCGGAAGACCCTGACCCTCTGAATATGCCATCCCGATAGCAGCCTCACCATCCTTCCCTACGCCCATGTAATAGAGTCTCCAATCATACGGCCCATCCATTTGCACCAGGCACGGGGCGCCGACCCCAGCGACGTCCCACTCATCATCATCCTCCGACGGGCGCAGCGCTGGTGATTCACTGCACCGCCTCCAGCCTCGCAGCCCGTCCTCCGACACGGCCAACCCAATGCTCACCCCGCCATTGCCATCCAAACCCTCGTACGCCATCATGTACCGACCGGCGGCGCGGTCACGGACGACATGCCCCTGCCGCACACCGCCTTCATCGAACGATCCAGGCCCGCCTCCCTCGAGCACCTTCCCCACCCTCTCCCACCGGATGCCGTCCCTGGACCTGGCCACCCCGACCGCGTGCCTCTGGGACATTTCGTCGAACGAGTGGTAGTACATCCGGAGGTCCCCGTCGGCGTGCATCACCACCTTGGGGGCCGCCGCGCAGCGCTTCTCCCAGCCCTGGGGGTGGTCCTCCCCGACCCCGAGCAGCGCGCCGGTGTGGTGGGCCCCCTCGATGCGCGCCCAGTGGCGGCCGTCCTGGCTGATGGCGAGGCCGGGCAGCGCGGCGACGTCCGCGGCGGGGAACGGGGACGACGCGAGGCGCGCGTCGTTGGAGCCGGTGTAGTAGAGCCAGTACACGGCGGAGGAGGAGGAGGGCGGGGGGCGGCGGGACGACGCCGGCGCGTCGGGGCCGGAGATGACGAGCACGTCGCCCGGGCGGACGGCGGCGGTGTCGAAGACCCACCAGTCGGCGGAGGGCAGCAGCGGGTCGGGCGCCACGGGCGCGCTCCAGCGCAGGCCGTCGGGGGAGGTGGCGAGGGAGATGCGCGTGTCGGAGTGGTACCAGAGGAGCCAGTCGCCGGCGGGCAGGCGCTTGACGACGGGGGAGCCCGCGCCGCGGAGGAGGAGGCCGCGGGAGGAGGAGGCGGCGGGCTGGTGGTGGCGGGCCGGGGCCTGGCAGCGGGTGCGGGAGGCCAGCGGGCAGCGCGGCGGCGGGAGGAGGTTGGCGAGGAGCATGGCGCCGCCGGGTGAGAGCGCGAGCGTGACGGCGGCGGAGCCGGGGATTTGGATGTGCGGCGAAATATCCAACGGCCGGATGACAGAAAGAAACATCACGAAATTCACAGCCTGTTTGGTAAACACGAGTTTGCACAAGAGTGTTCATGGAGGGAGTAGTCATCCACGAGCGCCTACGGTGACTTTGTAAATTTCAAAATGATATGTCGGCTCAGTTTTTCGGAGGTGCTCATAAATGTAGAGTGTGTGTGCGTTCTTAGAAGTGAGTATATGTACGTGTATATGAGTGTTTTGTGTCTGTACTGATGTTGAAAAAAAAGGAGGAAGTAGTCATGGGAAGTAGATTTTACTCTCACTCCCTTGTTTGGTACTCCCTCCGTTTCTTTTTAGTTTGCATATAAGATTTGGTCAAAGAAACTTTGTTAACTTTAACTAAATTTATAAAAAAAAGTATAAAGATTCACAAATATGAAATCGATATTTTTAGATGCATCATGAAATTAATTTTCATACCATACAAGTTTAGTATTGCAAATGTTGATATTTTTTCCTTTCAAGTTGCCAAACTTTATAAAATTTGACTTTGACCAAATCTTATATGCAGACTAAAAAAACGGAGGGAGTATATGATGAGAATTAGCATGGGATAAAACTTTGCTCACGAATTAACAAGGTACCCTTGAGAAGAAATAGGTGGGAATTGGCTTCCTCAACTCCTATTTCCCTCCCACTTAAACTCCTATCCCTTCTAATGAAACATCTCGCGTTGGAAGACATGGGTGCTTAGATATTCTTTTATTTAACACTATTTTCTTCTAGTCTATAATCGCCTAGGCAAGCGCCGGGCATTGTACATGCCCTATTAGTGGGGAGGAGTATGGGAAATACCCTTTGGCTCCTGTATGTAATATATATACACCCTATATGAGGATTTTTAAAAAAATAAGTAAACAAAAAAGTTAAAATAGTTCAAATGTATTGTTAGATTAAACTTGACTTACTTGCGCATTAGTATATAAATTTTCACAAAGAAGAAACCAACGTTGACCCGGTTTTCTTATTAATAATAAATAAGAATCCTCTAACGGAACTGATAAAGGGCAGCTGGGCAGCTGGAAATTGTGAAAGTAGAAAGGACACTGTGATTAATAGCGTCCAGGTCCGGCCGCTGTTGCTAAAGACATCCAGGGGTGGACGCTATTGTTAGTAGCGTCATGTGTTTCATTACGAGCCAAATCCCTTGAACTGGCAGCCCCAATGCTCTATCTTAACTTATTCCCTTGACTCGGCCTCTTTCTTGTCAATGATCTGTTCTTTCCTTAGCTCAACTTGTTTCCTCGATTACATTTGGTTTTTTCTTGGCCAGACGATGAGCCTAAAGCGAAGACATGAAAAAAAATTAGGATGCTCCCATTTTCCCAAGCTTTTGCTATTTTACATATAAATTACCAGTACGACAGTAGCTATATACCTGTTTGATTATTGTTAGTTGTGGATGGTGTCCCATTCGGCTTCCTTGCATTCTCATCCATGTACATCGGTGTTCTCTTGTGTTGATGACGCCCAAGTATTTGGTTGCAAAGAGAACTTATTATATGATGGATTCACATTTATTAAACATTGTCTAGCCAATGCCCGCGCATTTCTTTATACTCAACTCCAATTGTGGTGCATGGCCAATGGTTTCGGATCATCATCTGAACACTAGCTAGGTGCGTCATCGAAATCATGCTCATTGTCATCATCATCATGTCCAATCAAAGCATCATCTGGGTCTGTATTATCATCCTGATCATAAGGGCCATCGGCAGTACTTGTTGGTTTCTTGCATTACCATGACTACAAGATGGAACATGTGACATGTCAAAATCACGAGCACATGTACTACAATCCAGAGATGCACAAAATGGGGTTTGTTGCAATGATGAACACATTGCACTTCCGTGCCTTTTCCCTTCCCTTTTAATTCAAGGTATGTTGCTTCCATCGCTGACTTGGCTCAATGTACCTCGATTTGGTGTGAACTTAACACGTAACTCTATCGCTTGCCATGTTTCTCGGGACCTGGTCTTCTCAAGAATCATGTTCCATCCTCTTTCCTCGTATACTGGAATTAATTGAAAATCATGTTCCATGTTGCACGAGACCTGGATATCCATGTTGTTTCGATCCCTGCTATTTTCATGTCTAAGTCCTTGACATATCTTCTTGATATCTTGAAAAGTTGTTTCCTCATATGCTGGAAATGTGACTTTGGGAAGAACACTATACTCCATACCCATGGATCCATGTTGCACTTCCCATCCACATACGTTAGAACAATTAACATGTTCTCGGATTCACTTGCAGACATGAACATGTAGGAAGTGAGTTATTTACCCAAAACCATCACACTTGGGGCTAGGGTAACAACTTGGTATCAGATTTTAGCCAGGCCACAAAAACCCACCTAAAATGTGCCTAATCCATAACAGAGAGCACTGATTGTCGGATTTACTCGCGAAAACAGCGATACTGACAAGTTGGGCCCACCTGTCGGGCTGAAGTGGCATGCCTATGTGGACAAATGCGCCGAGGTGGACATGGGTCCCACATGTCAATGACCCAACGTCTCCTTTTTTTCATTTTTCTTTTTTATTTCTACCTCCACTTTCGCATGGGCATTTCATCAAACAGGTCCTAGATGTGCCGCTGCCTCCTGGGCAGAACCAGCGATGTCATGGAGGAGCTCCGTACAGGCCGGAGTCGGCGGCCGCGGCGGCGCCACCACGCACGCCACGCCGTTCAAGGTTAGCCGCGCCCATCAGGGTGGCCGACGGTGTCCTAGACTACTCACTATGTCGTCTCTCGACTAGGTGGATCGGGCCCCCATGGCGGTACACTCGTGGGCCAGTTCGGACAGCCCATGCCGAATACAAAAAGGATTCCACAAGACTTGGCGCAAAGACAAGGACTCTTCTAAACCCTAGGCCTACGGTGCATATATAAGCCGAGGCCAGGCTAGTCAATAGACAATCTAATATTCATTAGATAAATCTTGTGGTAGACACATGTACTCTGTAATACACCCCATATGAATACAATCAAAAGCAGGACATAGGATTTTACCTCCATCAAGAGGGCCCGAACCTGGGTAAAATCCCGTGTCCATGCTACCATCACTCCAAGATGCCTAACTTAGGACCCCTACTACGAGATATGCCGTATTTAATACCGACGTTGGTGCTTTCATTGAGAGCCTGCTGGATGATTATCACGGATTGATGGAATGATCAGGTGATATTTTTCTAATCAAAACTGTTTTGTACAGGTTAGTTTTTGCAAGGATTATTCACGGGTTTGCAAACTTGGTCCGCAGATTAGGTTAAGATCAAGGTCTAAAAAATATGTTCTACCCCGGTCCCTTGATCGGCTGACGGCGGCGTTTAATAGATTGTCAAACTGGTTCCTGACGTCGCTAAGCACAAATCCATCAATGGGCAGCGATCATATAGAGAGATCCCTTCCCTTATTCTCTTTCTTTGTCCTTATTTAATGGGCGGTGCTAGGCGCCGGCGCACCGGCCGAAAGTTTCGGCAGGTCCTACCCCATCCCTTGGATGCGAGCCCGCGTGGCCACTAGATGCAGCAAAAATAAAAAAAACGATTCGTCCTGGGCTTCTTCTACCTCGGGTTAGATCTCCAGCTCCTGCTCGGTGTCCTCGTCGCCGCGCCTCCAGTCTCCTCTGGTGGCCGTCCTCGTCGCCAGTCCCCACCCTCGTCGTTCGTCCTCGTCCGCTAGTCCCCATCCTCCCCGGCTGGCCATCCTAGTCGCCAGTCCCCACCCTCGTCGGCTGTCTTCGTCGACGTTGAAGCTTTTCCCAGATTGGCCTGCCGTTGCAGCTCTTGACGTAGCCATTGCAACTCTCCACGGCGACGGGTGTAGCTCCGCCGCCGCCCCTCGCCGTTGATGCTCACTGCAGCCGCCGACGACGGCCACCCAGTCAATCAACACAATTGAAAACCCGTCGCAAACCCCCTGTGTTGCATACGCTGGAAAAAAAGCTTCAACCCCTGGATGGAAAAGCTTCAACCTCTATATGGAAAAGCTTCAACCGGCACTGTGAATCAAGAGGAGATGCAACCGCTCGCGCAAAATGCTTCAATCTTAGATTGAAAAAGTTTTAGCCAAATGATAGAGAGAGCTTCAATCAAGCGCCTCTCAAGAACGAAAAAAGTTTCAAATCGTTTACAAAAAAGTTTCGATCGTGGATGAAAAAAGCTTCAACCATGTATGAAAACAGCTTCAACCGTTGGAAAAAAAGCTCCAACTAGACACTGCAAACCAGAGAAAAGTTGCCAACGTTGACATAAAAAGCTTCAACCGTATATGGGAAAAGCTTCAAACGGCTATCGGCTACAGAAAAGTAACAATATCCAAAGAGGTCGTTGTCATCATCGCGAGGTCGCAACTCCGCCTGATGGATGTAGCAAAAAACTTCGATAGTAGTAACAAAATCCAACTGCGGTTGCAGCTTCCCCTTGTTGTGCAGTTCCATTGAAGCTTTTCTGTCTATGGTTGAAGCTTTTTTCAACAGCTGTTGACGCTGTTCTAGGTGACGGTAGCAATATTAGTATATGCGGGGTGCATCCAGCCATGGCGGCAGGCAGCCATGGCGGCTGGCGAGGGAGCGCCTGACCGCCGGCGATGGAGGTCGTGGTCGCCCAGTCGCAGCCCGGGGGGGGGGAGATGCGCCCGCGTGAAGGCTCGAGGTAGGGGATGGATCTGGCCATGGCGGCAGGCAGCCATGACAGCCGGTGATGAAGTCATGTACCTAGGGTAGGGTTACGGACCTGTCCAAGGTACCCTCCCCAAGGACATCTCTTAGAAGAAGCCGTCTTTCAGTCGACCAAGAGGAATTCCACTCGACCGGCTAGAAGACACTCGACGAACCTGAAGACACTCGACCATGAAGACTCACTCGACCACCAGGAGTTCAAGATCTACTTTGTATCCAAACGGTCTGTAATTAAGTAGTCTTAATGGTCATGATGACACTTTATGTAGGGCGTTACCAGTAACGCCAGGTCTTAATGTACTTTAACCCTCTGCTACGT